TTAGTCGCAGCTCTGCACGGCGCGCAGCTCCTGGTTGCCGCCCTTGCCAGTTACTTTCTCTGTCATTATCTAACAGTCGGTACCCATTTTTTCTGGCTCAAGAGAGCAAACGATGAGCACCTGGTTTTCCACTGTACTCAAAGCGTCTATTGTTGTCGCTCAAGTCATTTTAAGTCTTTCTTCACATCCAGATACCAGCCGCCGCAAAGACATCTCTGGATGAATGCTTTGACACTAGCTGCGATGGCAACCAACAATCACAAGTCGTGCTTTCAGCCATTTATTAATGACCCCAAGGGCGATACTTCCAGCACGCTCAACTCAATCAACTAGCGTTCATCATTAGTCAAAATAGAAAGTGTACCCACTTCTCACAGGAAGTCGAAAACTTCATCGAATCGCATAAATTATTATATCTAAAAGGCGCTCGACTCCCAAATTTGGAACCCATAATACCGGTATTAGAATGTCTTAATTTATGTTTAACCCTCTGTTCCCTTGTTGCGGCTACCGGTAGTTTGAACATCTAATTACCAGTCTACTGAGTACTACACGTAATTGAATAGTACCAGGTGTCAATTTCTCGCTTGGTAGTACTGTACACCGGTAAACGTGCTTGATGTTCATGTCAAGTACAGTACTGTGTACCTGACCCATGCAATATCTCCAGACTGGTGATATTCGTGCTTCACGGGCACGTTCCTGACTGCAGTCGTACGGCCACATGAATAAGATGAGCCAGTTTATGAGCCGCAGATGGGACTCTAATCAACTCGTTTGGTTGAGCCTACGATTCTACGTTGCCTAACGACTTTGGGGCTTCCAATCGAGTCGTTTAGAAACAATAGAGACGGGCAGGCTTATTCTCAAGGTCTCAAGCTCCGGTGCTGTCAGCACTGCTGGTCACCAGTCGCTGAGTGCACCCAATCCTTACCGTGTGCTCTTGTATCAGCATCCGAATCGCTGCACATGTGACAGCCAAGCTTTCGACTTAAAACCTCGCAGCAAGGCGCAGTCATTCTCCTTTTCACTCGCTTGTGCTCACTGCACCTTCGGCCTACGCGAGCATGAGCATATGGGTCGATATCTTGAACGTGGCGACTGCCATCGCCCAGGTCATTCTGAGTCTCAGTCTCACGCCGGATCTCTACAGCGTACACCGCCGCAAAGGCACCGGACAGATGGTTGCACTTCCTCTCGTAGCAATGGCAGTAAATAACCGCGCATGGTACGGGACTGTTCATTAATATAATTTTTCAACCGCTTCGGTTGCTAACGCTGTTTCCCTTGTAGGATGCTGTACGGCTATCTGGCAGACAACATGTTTCCGATTTTTGCAACTCAAGCGTTCAGTCAGACCGCAGCATTGATCTACAACGTCATTTTCTTCAGCTACACTGTGCCTGAAAAGCGCAAAGCTCTGTACAAACTGTACTCCCGAGCGTTCGCTGTGCACTGTATGTTCTCCATCTACACGATTCTTGGAGTGTCCGGTGTCACAAACCAGACCAAGGGACAGGTTGGCGACTGGGTTGGCTACGCTGCAATCGTCATCAATATTTGGATGTACGCGTCACCGCTGGGCACTCTGAAACATGTGATCGCGACCAAGAACTCTGCCTCTATTCCAATTAACCTGAGCGCCATGATCTTTGTGTCGGCGTCGTTGTGGCTTGCGTCGGGAATCGTGGACAATGATTTCTTCGTGTGGGGGATCAACGCTATCGGTACGATGCTAAGTTTTATCCAGATTGTAGTGTACTACATCTTCAGACCAACGCAAGAGCAAGACGGGATGAAGAGCGGAGGCGTGACGATTGTCGTTGACAACACTATTACAGCGACTGTCGAGAGTCCAGCGTACAAACCGATGTCATCCCCAATAATATCTCTGAACAAGGAAGCACTCTAAGCTAGGGAGTACTTTTAATAAACGACTTCGAAGCATTCGCTTGCCGGCGGTAGTAAACTTTTATATCTTTTTATCGGTAATATTGGTCTAACCAAATTCACGAACCGTAGTTGAGCCAGTTCACCGGTAAGTTTATTCAAGGCGTGCAGTTTTCAACTTTTTTAATGCAGCCGATATACATTTCGGCTTAGCTATTGCTTATAGGCGAGGCATTCACCCGGGGTTCGTATTTATACTATAAATATTGGATCAGACTGCAAAATCTTTTAAACGATGTGAGTGATGTGGGAGCCTATGTAAAAAGATATTTCGAAGCTCTTCGCTCAGTAACATTGGAGAATTGGCGCTGCATGTAATTGAAGGAATGGAGCGCGTCCAAGCGGAACACAACGAAGGAAGCCGCACGTGTTATGTCCTCTGATCTGGACGTGGCCCCACCACGTGAATTTGCGGAGGATATCCTATTAATAGATCCTCGCCGCACTTAGCTGGAGAAGTTTTGGAGTCATGCCCAAATTGAAGCCGTCGCATCCGAACATCAAGCGCAATACAAAGCGAACATGTTAGGTGATACGAACATCTCAGTTCTGGAGGCTGAAGAGTATGAAGCGGCGCTCAGTAGACCTACATGCATTTACGCACCTTCGTGTGGATTAGCTTCGGTATTTGCCAACACGACACCTGTAGTCCGAATTCTCTGTATTAAATTGAGAGGTTAATGATCGCCGCAACGCATTGACTTCCCTCGCTCTAGAGGTAATTTTTCCAGACAAAAAAAAACAATTCAACTATTCCGGATCCTTGGCAAACAAAATGCTCAGAAATAGTTTTAAAGTGGCACTGTGCCGTATAAGGTTTCAAAAGTGCCGAAATAAAGCTATTAATAATATAACACAGTCTATTTATTAGTATCCCATATACTAGGATTAGTACAATTCTGGTTTGCCGCCCGATTTACAGTGTTATATCGGGCAGGGTGTAGGGTAATTAGGTTTAATTAGCTATATATGACCCGACTTATGTTGAGGGCGATGAAAAGCTCACGGCTTCAGTAGCGAAACCAACCAGTGGACCGCGTACAATTTGCCTTAAAATTGACGGTATGAGCTGTGCGAAGAACTGCGCAACGAAGATCGAGCGGGCTTTGAATGCTGTTGCGAGTGCACAGTGGATTTCCCGCATAAACGCGCTACAGTTCAGCTAGAATCGGGCAGCTCCCTCTCGGAGAACGACCTCATCGAAGTTGTCATTTCCAGACGACCTTACCTCCCACAAGTAAGCTCAACTAATTGGGGAAGAGATAAACACTAAACGTATGCATACTGTAGTGCGATTGCCGAGTAAAGTGGTGCTATGGCGGCTAGACTACGCTTGAACATAGTGTTCTAGCAAATGATTTTGGGCAGACCACTTAGGCAAGGCAATTCTGGCACTTCTTCTAATTCGAAGTGCCCATCAACATATCCGGCCCGAGCCTTAATTTACCCTACTTTCTATTTCGGAGGTGTTCAGCAAATCGGATCATCCGAAATGTATAAAAACCACAATGCCTTTTAGCTACAAACCTTTACGCTTTCGTTTCCGGTATATCAATAAGTCATTACTGCCGTAGATTACTTAAGATACAGACAACGACGGTGAAATTCGCCACCCTCTGAACGCCATCCTCCATAGTAGTTCTTTTTTTGTTTTCGCGACAGGAAAATCCGTCGCACATTTTTATTGGTAGATAAAACGAATTAATTAGCAAAAAGCAAAGTTGAAAACCTCAACGTCTAGTGGCTGGCAGGCCGCTGTACTGTTGGGCGGTAGCTGGCAAACCAGGGCCGACGTTGTCTCGACAACAACATCAAGTCCTTCTTTTGAAACATGTGCGTCGAAGTTATCGAGTATAAGCACTGATAGTGCCTCGATCTCGAACTTGAGCAGCTCTCGTACATATATCGCCCACACTTTGGCATCCATAAAACTGCTCTCCTGCACTGAGTATACATGTCCAACCGGATGTGTTAGTAGCTCCACGACTATCACACTATTTAATAAAGCAATTATATAAAATCAGCAAAATCAAAAGATATTACCGTGCTGCAAACCGCTGACATAGTCTCATAAACGCCCTTTGACCCTTCTCATCGTTTTCCTTACCACGCCTATTGGCGTTTGAAGCCATCGCGTTTGCTGCTCTTTGA